TCCTTGTGATTCGGGCATTTTGCTCCACAGTTTCAGCCATATTTTTCTGTCAAACTTCAACCAAAAAGAAATAACAACCGTTATTACATACGTGTCACGGTGGCTAATCTATCCCTAGTATCATGTATTCACCCTTGCACTCAGGGATTTTGAGTCCGGACGACGATTGCTCAAAGAGAAAAGGTTCTTAAGGATATCAGATTTCCAATGATACTTATAGTTTTCTTGCATGTTATTTACTTAGAATGCATACTGAAATGATTCGCGATAATTCTTGACTTTCTGCATGTTTACTACACGAGCATCAAAATTATTCCAATTCATAACTTTCTTCGCTGGGTTATTATATCGAACAATGTGTTAAATTTTCTATCAAATATTCAAAATTGACTAGAGAAAACAAACATAAAGAATCAATGAAAGAACAAGTTTGAGATCACAAAATCTTGACAAGAAAATTGTGTATATATATGTAAACCTGGAGACTTCTTGGAAATTGCCGAAGTTCGTCCCCAATCGCCACAGCAAAAATGTTGTCTGGCTTCTTGCAAGGAGAGAAGGGTGAGATGGTGAAAGGAGGTGTTACAACAATTATCTTTCTACCCAACCCCTTAACAAAATGGAAGAAAATCTTGATGAGAAATATGAACAAATTTGACAGCAGTCACAAATAGCTGAATTTTTGGGCTTCAAGTTTCAACCACCTCTTTTTTTGCAGTTGCAAGTTTGTGGTAACTCCTTGATCACATGTTTGTAGCCACAAATTTCCACTTTTTGCCATCTCTAAATAATTTTTTTAGTTCCAAATAATTCTGATGCCACGAAAAAACAGAATAACAGCTTTCCAAAGCCAAAAGTAATATTGGCTAGCTAATATCTTAGTAGAACTCAATATTTGTTATTCATAAAAATAGACAATCATGTTTCGGTTCGAAAATACGATTATGATACAGAGGTTTTGGACAAAAGGGGTAGAGGAAGAACTAGAAAAATTTAGAAAGAAACTTAAAGAAAAAACGTGGAATACATGGAACTTACAGAAGACTGGTGGCAAACCAAGCACAGTGGCATTCTAGGATTCATTGTGACATCCCACATCGCCCAGGAGGGTGATCCTTAAATGTATATTCCCATCCCTACCTATCACGAGGCCTTTTGGGAGCTCACTGGCTTCGGGTTCCATTGGAACTCCGAAGTTAAGTGAGAAGGGGGCTAGAGCAATCCCATGATGGGTGAACCACTGGGAAGTTGCTCGTGAGTTCCCAAAAACAAAACTGTGAGGGAATGGTAAGCCCAAAGTGGACAATATCGTGCTACGGTGGTGGAGCGAGCTTGGAAAGTGATCCGTCCCGGGTCGGGATGTGACAATATGGTATCAGAGTCTAACCCTGGCCGCGTGTGTGCTGACGAGGACGTCGGGCCCCTAAGGGAGGTAGATTGTGACATCCCACATCGCCCAGGGGAGTGATCCTTAAATGTATATTCCCATCCCTACCTAGCATGAGACCTTTTGGGAGCTCACTGGCTTTGGATTCTATGGGAACTTTGAAGTTAAGCGAGTAGCGCGCAAGAGCATTCCCAAGATGGGTGACCCATCGGGAAGTTTGTTGGAAATGTGCCCTAAAACCAATCATATGATGATAATTTACGGACATTTCAAACTAATGTAGTTCATTTCAAACTAATGTAGTTTAAATGTAAAAGGCAAACATTATTGTTTGAGCCGTCTCATATAAATGTTATATGCTTAAACGATAAGTCCAAGGAATATGTGATTGGAAGAATGCGATCTAAAGAAGTTAGATTTATGAGACCATTCTTTCGTTGACACATCCTAAACGTTCCTGATCATAGGATTGTCAATTGGGCATTGACAGTCCGTTAAGATCAGTACGTGCTATGTCTTCTCTCAGGGAGAGTGACTAGTCTCGAGTCATTGGTGTGTGTGACATCAAGACAAGTACGTAGGTGCTCAATAGAGAATGAGTTCACTGAACACGATCAACGAAGAGTTCTCATATTCATGTCACATGAGAACTCATGGTTGGGATAATGCAAATTAGTCTTTTGACCTGAGGCATCACAGTTGTCTTGTGGTTAGGTCCTTAATTTTTGATTATGTCAAAGTCACTCTATCAGGGTGTCCACGGCATCGTCGGGGTTAAGCCACTTAGCCATGGAGGCAAGTGAATGCGCAACAAGGGATCTCTAACCTTCAAACTGTTTGAGGGAGAATACTCTATGATATGATTTGGAATCTCTGGCCAGAGTATGAATGAAATGTTGGAATGCGTTCCAGATCACATTCAAGGTAATCATACAAGCACAAGATTCACATTGGATAGTAGACATGAATAAACTATCAAACCAAACAATGTGGTCAAGAGTATTGTATTAGAGAAAGACCGTATTGCATTTGTAATCCTAAACTGAATAGGTTCTCCACCTCTTCTGATTAGCTTGGGTAACCATGATATGCTGCTAGGTGTCACTCATGGTTTGTGGAAGCCCTAAAAGTGTATTATCATTAACGGGAGAATTGAAAGTAAGTTTCAATTCACAATCGATTTGAAAGAGTTTGAATCGCCCACTGCCTCGCTAAAAAGAACCTAATGGATCGTACACCGTGTAAGGTAGAGTTTGAAGATTCAACGGAGATGAGTAAGAATAATTAAATGGTTTAATTATTTATGGCAAGGATTAATTAATATGATTATTAATCAAACGAATAAGTTCGTTGAAGACCTCGGGATAGTTTTGGACCTTAAGGCCCAATGGGCTTCGAACGTCAAGCCCATTGACTTAAGTTGTATGACAACTTAATGAATAATGATTCACAAAGGCCCAAATAGCCCAATTAATCCCCATAGGCCGGCCATTTAAAGGAGGGTAGTGAATTTGGCTTAATTGCAAGTTTGCCACTCCATTGTGAGGTGGTATAAAGACATCTTTATAGCCATTTCATCCTTAGGGTTTTTTAGGGAGTAAAGATGAGAACACAAACCTCCCTTTGCTCTCAAAGAATTCGGCCAATCTAGAGGGGAAAATCTAGCAATCTTACTTCCTCTAGGTCACTCATTTCTTCTTCAATATACCTTGGTGTGGAGACTTAGAGGTTCTCAATTTTGGGAACTTGGAGAAACCTTTTCATCCATCCAAATCCATGGATCCAAGATGCAAGGAATGAAGACCCTCTCTTTGGGTGATTAGCCTTTGCTTATGCAAAGAGGAATCTACAAAAGTATTGATTTCTCAACTCACTTTATTTTTGAGTTGAGTCTTGATTCACCTATCTACTAGGCTTTGAATTTCATGGGTAAATGTTTTGTTTTAAGTGCATACAAGCATGATTCCGCCTTTAATATGTTAATTGCATGCTATTGATGTTGCTTAAATGAACATGTTTTTCACAAATTTTCCTTCAAAGTTCTCGTGTGAGTTCCCAGAAACAAAACCGTGAGGGCGTAATCGGGGCCCAAAGCGGACAATATCATGCTACGGTGGTGGAGCAGGCCCGGGATGTGGTCCCCCCCCCCCCCCCGAGCCGGGATGTGACAATTTGGTATCAGAGCTTAACCCATGCTGTGGTGTGCCGACGAGGACGTCGGGCCCCTAAAAGGGGTGGATTGTGACATCCCACATCGTCCAGAGGAGTAATCCTTAAATGTATATTCTCATCCCTACCTAGCATGAGGCCTTCTGGGAGCTCACTGGTTTCGGGTTCCATGGGAACTCCGAAGTTAAGCGTAGCGCACGAGAGCATTCCCAGGATGGGTGACCCATCAGGAAGTTCTCGTGTGATTTCCCAAAAACAAAACCATGAGTGCGTAGTCGGGGCCCAAAGCGGACAATATCATGCTACGGTGGTGAAGTGAGCCTGGGATGTGGTCCCCCCCCCCCCCCCCCGAGCCGGGATGTGACAATTTGGTATCAGAGGAACTCGAAGCCAGTGAGCTCCCAAAAGGCCTCGTGATAGGTAGGGATGAGTGACACGCCCCGACCCCGATATTCCCCGAATACCAGGATAGGCACGTGCTGGCCGACACCCGAAGGTGACGAAAGCCATTTATTGAGTGCAAATGCTGAAAACAAGGGATAAATAAGGTTTATAAATATAAAAGAATAATGAATAGTCAAATAAGGACCGTGTTCAGAGCACACCACTAATCTAGAACACTAAAAGAAAAAATATAAAATTGAATGAAACGAAGGAGTGGGTCCTACACCGAGGACTCGAAGATGCCGATGCTGAAATGCCTGGACGTCGGGATTGTATGCCTCAATTCTAAGTCCTGAAGGGGGCGCAAAACAAACATGAGTGGACCAAGTTGATATACATATATAAAATAAAACAGTTATCAACATACTAACCCCCAGGTTTTATGAAAACACATATATAATGATAAACATAGGTTTTCCGAAATCTAGCATGTCGTGCAATGTCTCAAATCATAAATCGCATAAATAATAAACACTAGTGAATGTCCGATATAACTCTTCAGGCCCCATGCCGGCTCCCCGTCTCTGAGCACACAGTCAGAGGAAAATACACTTCAGGCCCCGTGCCGGCTCCCCGTCTCTGAGCAGACAGTCAGAGGAAAACACACTCCAGGCCCTATGCCAACACCAAACCGTCGCCCGGGACGGACCGGATCTATCCCTACGTCCCGTAGCGGAAAGGACCACTAGGTAAGTACAAAACCAGTGAACATACATATATTGAAAATCAACTTCATAGTATAAAGTCATCCATCATCTATACTATAAAGAGGTGTTCTAAACATGTTCTAAATATCATATCGTCATCCATCAGATATTCTACAAGAACATGGGTTATAGGAAAAATAGTAATAATTCAGACTAGCCTCAGTAAGCATATTATCTCAAAACGTTTCATAAAACATAATCGTAAAGTCATGCTTTTCTGTGTATGCAATTCTACCATTAAAACATGCATTTTTAGAAGGGGTCCACTCACAGTACTTCGCCGTCGAAAAGCCACGTCATCTAGCGAAGAAGGAAACGCCATCGATAATTGCCCCTAAGCACATAAACGGTACATTTAGTCAAACTCTACTCAAACGATTGAATTTGGGAAAACGGACATCGGAAACGGGTTCAGAACGTCGAAATTAGCCTAGGAGGGGTCCCGCACGAAAACCCAAAAAGTCAACCCCAAGGTCAAAGTCAACGATCAAAGTCAACTTTGACCGTTGACTGGTCAACGCTGACCGTTGACCGGGTAAACGGTCAACGGGTCAGGGTCAACGGGTCACTGGTCACGGGTCACGGGTCACGGGTCAACGGGTCGTGGGTCAACCCGTCAGAGTCAACCGGGTCAACCCGGTTTAGGGTTTGGGTATTGGATCCGGGTTTGGGCCCTAGGGTTTTGGGTTAAGGAAATGGGCTTAGGTTTTAGGTGGGTTGGGTTTGGGCTTTAACCTCACAGCCCAATGGCCCAATTAAAAAGGGTTTTGGGCTTGGTTCACACGGCCCTAAGGCCTTTGGGTTTTTAAAGTAAACAAAAATAAAAATAAAAACAGAAAGGGTTTGGGTTTTGGGCCAAATACCAAAACAGGCCTAAGGCCCGTGGGGGAAGGAAACGGCCTGAAGGCCTGGGTGGTTCCTTGGGCTGGGTTTCATGCCGGAGAAGAAGGCCGGAATTCGGCCGGAATTTATACAAACTCTGAACGTCCATAACTTTGTTAATACTCGACGAAATCAAGTGATTCAAAAATGAAAATCATAGCTCTCGAAGAGACGAAGAGAATGGTACCTCACACGACGTCTAACTCGCCGTGGTTTGGCTGGAAAACACCTCGAAAGTCACTGAGATCGCCGGAAACTGGTAAGATTCAAATGAGTATAACTTCTTCAATACTCAATGAAATTAGGTGAAACAAAAAGGAAAGTTGTAGTACTCAGCGAGACGAAGAGATTGATACCTCGCACGCCGGCCAACTCGCCGTGGTTTGGCCGGAAATCGCCTCGAAAGGGACGGTGCTCGCTGGAAAACTGGGAAATGTCTCCGAGGTGGTTTCTTCGTGATTTGACGTCCAAAACACAACCATGGGGTTCGAAAAGAGCTATAGGTGTGGGCTTGGGTGTGTGTGTGTGTGTTCTTGTCGGACCGAGAGGGGGGATGGAGAAAGACAGAGAGAAGAGAGAGTGAAGGAGAGGAGAGAGAGACTTTTCAAAAAAAAAAAAGAAAAGGGAAAGGGAAAAACCGGGGAACAAAAACAGGGGGTGGGCCCCTTGGGCTCACCAATTAAGGCTCAAAAACAATTTTTAAAAGAAAGGTATCCCCAAACTTAGTGAAAATACAAAAATACCCATTTTCTTGCGTAAATTCCGGGACGGGTTGTTACAATGAGAATATACATTTAAGGATCACTCCCTTAGGCGATGTGGGATGTCACAATAAATTGTCACATCCCGGCTCGAGGGGGGGGACCATATCCCGGGCCCACTCCACCACTGTAGCATGATATTGTCCACTTTGGGCCCCGACTACGCCCTTACGGTTTTGTTTTTGGGAACTCACACGAGAACTTCCCGATGGGTCCCCCATCCTAGGAATGCTCTCGCGCGCTACTCGCTTAACTTCGGAGTTCCCATGGAACCCGAAGCCAGTGAGCTCCCAAAAGGCCTCGTGATAGGTAGGGATGAGAATATACATTTAAGGATCACCCCCCTAGACGATGTTGGATGTCACATTCATACAGCCAACCCACTTAGTGGGATAAGGCTTTGTTGTTGTTTATATAAAAATATACCGTGTGAGAAAGTGAAGAACAAAGTCTCATGTTAGTGGTGAACCAAATATTCCAAGACCTTATAAGAAATTAGCCATTTTTTACATTACCAATTAGTTTTACAGTAAAACGCAACTTCCTTCGTCTCGTTATAGAAAACTATGGAAAATGTAATAATTTCAAGTTTTCTGTTCTTGGTTCCATTCTAAAGTTTACCAAAACGGTTTGTAGTGTTGAATTTTAATAAACAAATAAAAAAAAGTAAAAAGAGAGAGACGTGTACGAAACTAAACGAGCCTCGAAGCTACCAGATAAAACTGAAAATTAACTTCTGAATGTCAAATTATTGATTATACTTTGGTTTGGTTGTGAGTAATATTGTGTCTGCATGTATATCTCTATGTTAACTTGGATGCTTTCTTATGTGCACACACTACGCATCAGTCATGCAAGTGCAGGAAATTACTGGTACTGCAGACTGAACCAACCCTCATAAAGTACGGGTGCAAGTCTCGCAACATTTCAGTAAGAGACGAGCACACTAAGCCGGGGCCGGAATCTGCACTGGAGCTGCAAAATAAGTGGCATTTGCTTCAGGGAGGCATGGAGTCACAAGAACAAAATTGACCTCCGAATATAATAGAACACAGCAGCTTCGATTCTTTTTCTCAGTAATGGGAAATAAATTAATTTAATTTGTGAGTCAGAGATAATTTCTGAGCAAGCCGAAATCAATTTTACAACATAATTTAACATACAACGATCGAATAGTAACCAAAATTAACATAGTTTGGCTAACGGATTCAGCAGGAGAGTTTTTTTTTTTTTTTTTTCACAGGAGTCAGAAGCAGGAAAACCAGAGGAGAAGAGATACAAACACATTTTGCTTTTTTTATTGTTCTTTTTCGTCGTCATTTATTAGAAACGAGGCAGTGACATTGCCGTTGCTAAGCATTCGGTATCTGCTTCCTTCTTTACTTCTGCCTCTTGTATATCTTTGCCAAGAATGATTTCAGCACTGCCTGTACTGCTTTACTTGAATGAGATTCAATGGATTTTGTAAGTTTCTCGTAACTGCTGCTCTCGTACTCCAGAAACACACCCTACAAACCGCAAGTTAAATAAAGTAACGTTAAAACCATTGGTTCCAAACCCAGAAAAAAAATGCACGAGAAATAAACCCTTGACGTTATGCAAAATGTTTCCCAGTTAAAGACGAGGCTCCAAAAAAAATAAAAAAGTAAAGCAGAACAAGAAGACAGTGAGAATAACCTCAAGATCAAGGACTTTGTATAGTTCCTTAACTTTCGCAATACATGTTTGGTCATCTTTCCCGTAATTCTCCTGGTAGCATAACACAAACGGGGATAAATGTGATCAAGAACTATAACAACGGGAATAGTATATGATACATTGGAATATAGATTTACTTGCTTACATGTAATAGTTTCTTTTGTTCCTCACTAGCAATTTCTAAAGCTTTCACAACCAACCAAGAGCACTTGAAGTCTTGAATATCAGTCCCAACCTAAAATTTCAAACGACAAACAGTTAGATCGTTCATAACGCTTTGAAGGTAGGGAATTGCATGACCAGAATCCAAATGAAAATAGCTTAAAAAGTACCTTTCCAATCACTTCGGGATCACCAAAGCAATCCAAATAATCATCCTACAAAATACATCAGCATATCATTCGGTTACTGTGACAAGGGAGCTTATATAGAAGGAAGAAAAAGAAAAACGGTAGTCATAAATTGATCGTGGAGCTGTAGATTTGGCAATCCTCCATTTCTTTTTCCCTAATCATGCTACAGTTTATCAGCGAGAAAATAGTAGAGGATTCATACGTGAAATTAACTATTACCTGTACTTGAAAATAAGTTCCCATTTCAATAAGAATATTCCTCACATCAGCATGGCGTTCAAGATCTTCGCCTGCCATTAGCAACGCGCATGCTACCTGAGTGCATAGATTGGTTATAAGCATGAACATGTCAAAGAAATTTCATCAAATCCTGGGATGAACAAGCATGCCTTAGAATAAAGTAAGAATGACAGACAATCATTTAAAAAAGTTAGTTAATTGCTTCACATGGTTTCGGGTGTTCACTTCTTTTACAGAGGAAATCATGCAAACAAAAACTCTGTTCTATAGAGGTTTTCAGCTATTCAAATATATGATCAGAAACAAAAAAATCTTCAAAATTTCAGTTTCATTCACACAGAAGAGGACTAGGCGTAACAGCATTTACATTACATGCCAATAAGAAAGCAGACTTTCTACCTACGTAAGGCACCATCAGTTGAAAACTTCTCTAAAGCGAAATTGACAATTGACTATAAAGATGAAATGAATCTGAGAACCATGAGCTATGAAAGCGTAAAAGAAATTTGTACTCACTGGAAGGTAAAATGAGTAATAAGCAGTCTTGTACTGAACAATGCGGCGGTGACTGCATGAAAAGACAACCAATTGAGCATAAGTAACAGGAAAAGTAAATAGATTGAATTGGGAATCAATCGTGTAGAGTCGAAACCATCACTATTTACTTACAGCGACAATGAGTACTTTGATAGATCTTTCTCCCCTTCATGAGTGGTAATTAAATCGATCAATTGTCCATGAGCTGTTTGAAACTCAACCTCATTGAATAAATCCAGCAGATCCACATAGTACGGCTTTCCCCTAAAGTGCTTTTTGAGAATTCTCGGGATATGGTTGCGAAGTAGTATGCCATCATTCACAGCAATCATGCCGATCTAGAATTTAACAGTTATGGAACTTAGAATCTTCAAAGCAATTAAAAAGAGAAACGCACAAGGAAAAGAATCGCTCATGTTCGAGACTCACACCTTTGGCAGCCTGAACCAGCAGGGCTGACCCCTACGTGTATGAGAGCCATCCATGATATCATCAAGAACGAGAAAATACGCTTGAAGCTGCAAAATTCAATAAAAAGGAAGGTCAAAATGCCGTTGTAACCAATGCAGAGGAGAGGAGTGGATGTATGATAAACAGCGGGAGCCGTTATGTATTATCGTACCCATTCAATACACCAACCAAGTGCTGATGAATGAAAAATTTCATCATCCGTTAGGTCCTCTCCATCCTTGAGTAATTTTAAACTGTCAACAACGGATAAACCTCGATTCAGCTTTCCTGCAAACGGTAAAAGCATTATGAGCAGAAGTTCGATCGCAAAGATGTGATATAAAAATCAGAAATTGTAAGATTTATATACCTCCAGGCACATTGTAGTCCAGCATCTGCAACAAAAATGAACCAACGATCCAATTAGGACGTAAAATATCAGTATGAAATCGGAATCAAAGTTTTCGAGAGCAACAGCACAATTGAGAAGAAACTTGTACCGTTGTACGGTGCACAGAAACATATACATACATTGGCCTTCAACCCCATATCTAGGTGCAGAAGAACAACTGCTAACCCAGACACAGACTCGTATCCATACATACGTACACATAAATACATCAGCGTATTTTAGGTTTACAATATGCTGTTATAATTTCACCTTAAAGATAAAAAAATCATAATTAAAAATCAGATACTCTTGCATATCAGTGTGTTTTTGACTTTCGCGTTAACTAGTCGGGAACTATCTTTGGCACTCCAAAACCGTCATTCTACACTTCACCCTTTATTCTTGCATATTAGTGTAGAATAACAAGCCAAACAAACAAGCCCAACAAACAATGGAAGAAGTTCGTCTTACTTCGATGAAAATTAAAGCTTTCGAGCCAATTTAAACCACCAAATCAAATCGAAACCAATAGTACTACAAAATTTCAACAGAATCTCACTAATCTAAGTCTCAACAAGCTATCCCATAAAAAAAATCTCCAGCCAAAATCAAATCTTCCTCGATTCGACATTTTCCTTCGACAAAGTTAAGGGTCACAAATCTATCCAAAACCCAAAACAGAAAACCTTACAAAACTTAACTGAATGTAACAGTAACACCAGCAATCAGAATATTTAAACATCATAATTTAAAAGACTCAATCTTTCAATGGCATGCACATTGACCTATGAATTACGTACAGATTAAAGGGATAGATGGCAATACCCGTTCGACCCATTGACGAGAAACGTCGGTGAATTCGAAAGCCGGATCATTGAGAAGCTCAGATTTCAAAACAGAGTAAACCTCCAAGAACTTAGACCTCAAATCACCACCCATTTTTCTAGAGGGAGAGAGTGTGTGTATGTGGAGTGAGAAAGGAAAAGATTTGAGCTTGGAGAGCTTTGAACAAGAATGGAGGAAGGAGAAGGAGGAGGGTCTATAAATAGATGCCAGCCGCAAGCTTTGAGGGAGGGAGAACAAGTCACTTCTGGTGGGCTGCTATTTGATGGCTTATTAAGTACACAGAAATTACCATGTTTGTTTTACTTTATT